GCAACAACAACAACCAAACGGCTTCATCTCTCCCTCTTTCCTCCTCCCACGTGGTACCCACCCTTCAGCGATATGCTCTGCCAGACGGCGTTGGGAGTCAGATGACGGTAGAAGTTCGTGTCTTGGTGTGTTCGTGGGATGCGGAGTGTCCCTGTGTCCGCTCTAATAAAATACAATAAACTGCTTCGACCGTGGTCATATCTCGAACAGGTATTCTGTTTATGTTTTGTTTATTTTTCCTAATGAACTGCTCTAGAGGTGCGGTAGGTAGCCACGAGTTTCTCCGCAAACAAAAAACGATACGAGGTACCTTCCATGAAGAATGCGAACAACAGCAGCAGCGCACTTCATGTTTTTTTCTTTGCTCTCGGGCGGTGTAGTTTTGCACACAGCTGTGCACGACACCAGTCGCTACCCTCCCCGCTTTTCGTCGGGATCGAAAGGGAGGCACTACAGCAGTAAAGCACTTTGTCTCGTGTCATGCGGAGACTTGGTTGCTTGGGAGAATCCGCAAAAAAAGGGCTCTAGTCTCAAGAGAGCGCCAGTATCGGAAATGCTGCGATCTCGTGGGCCCTCAGCGGTAGGAAATTCGTCTACACGTCTACACACACACAAGCCAAGAGGAGGTGCTGCCCGAACAAAACTCACCGGTGTGGTCGCATGTCGCCTCCACGACCACAGTCGGGTAGCCCTCCTTGCCGGTGTTCATGCGAGCCTCCGAAGAGGGTCCGCCTGGCCACCTGAAGTGAGTGCAGTCCGTCGAACCTATCGCCCCCGGATAGCCGCTCTTCCGAAAGACCCGCTCCACCTCCTTCAGCTCGTCTCCAACCGGGAGTTTAACCCACGTGTCCCAGAGCGCCGCCGAAAACTTCTCGCAGAAGTGGTGGAATGATTTCTCGGCGGTCGCGACGCTCATCCCAGAGAAGGTGGCAACGTCCTGGAAGGTATTTCCCGATGCTTAAACCTTCAGGGCCGCGCACACCTGTCGCCGCAGCAGCAGCGACGAACGGGAGACGGGCGTGTACGGCGGAGCAGCAAAAATAGATACACATGTGTAGGAATAAAAATAAGGTGTCTATTCGTTGCTGTGTGCCATTCTGAACTCGAAAATCGGGAACAACAGCACGTGTGCCATGGCATGTCAGCGCTACAAAAAAGACGACAGCACTGCTGCTACGACGGAGCGGAGGAATTACAAGTCTGACACTCGCATTCCCGGCAGCACGGTAAAGAACAACAGCACGAGCCGATTGCAAGCCAGACGGCCTTCCGTACGGCAGTATGGAGTACAGCTCGCAGCCCTTGCAATAATCTTTTGGTGCGACTGCTGCGTGCTGGGCAAGGAGCAGTTCAAGGGCATGTCAACGCAAAAAAATACAACACAGCACCACTGCTGCTACGATGGAACGGGAAAGTCGAAAAGTCTGGTACTCGCACCCCGGCAACACTACCGTGAATGACAGAAGATACCACACCTCCTGGACCGATTTTCAAAGCTCGGAATACTCCACGGCCAAGAGGATGCATGAAGGAAACGATGCATTTTCGGAAAGCTCTCGGCGAGAGGGCTCTACGGCGCCGTTTTCGGTGCTGACACCTTTTGCAGTTGAGAAATCGGCCTTTGAAAATCGGTCCAGCAAAACTTTTTGGCCAGATTGCAACTTTTTGCTCATCGTGAAAAGTTCCAAAACTTTTTGCGCAACTTTTTGCTTCCATACTGGGCGTACATTTGGAATGTTGCGAGAAAAGTTGCAGAACTGCAACTTTTCTTGCAACATTTGTGAGCCATAAAAACCGGTCTAACGAGATCTTGGGCAAGATATTCACGGGGAGGACAACGCCTAAAAAAATAAAATAAAGCAAATAATTAAGCCCATATCAACACCTACCGTCGTCGTGTACATGTACGATGCGTAGGTCGTAGAACACCATCGCTTTCAGCGTTTTGGTGGTACAGGCAGTAGTACGGGGAAATTCAAACGATGGTATGCAAGTTGTTGTTGTTGTTGTTGTTGTTTCTCACATTAGCTCTATAGTCCACAAAAAATGGGGAGCCCGTGGTCTCAAAACCCGGCACATACGACGCCGCGAGAAAACAAAAAACAAAAATAGGATACAAACCACTCGGAAAAAGAAAACAAAATGATCGAAAGAAAGAAAAGAACAGGTATCGCACCTACTGTTCGAGAAAAGAGCCCTCGGA